TCCAAGGACTAAAGTGATGATAATGAAGTCAAAATAGCATGCAGGAAACACGTTCTTATCAGAGTTATCTGCCATTGTCTTCGAATGTTCCTTCACTGAAGAGACACTTGGTTTCTTCTCTTTGAGGCCTGTCTTCTTAGTGTTTCCGTACCAATGTTGTTGAGAAACAATTTACCTACCTTATAATTCACCCTTTCAAAGGGGATAGTTGCCAGATGTGACTCATGTCTGTAATCCTGAAACTCAGGAGACTGAGGCAAGAAGATCACCACAAGTTCAGGGCCAGCCTGGGCTACTTACTGAGTTCCAAGCCAGTCTGAAATAGAGTAAGACCTTTTAAAACTCTGTAAAAATTAAAAAGGGTACAAGTAAGTGACTTTAATATATTCACAAAAATTGTGAAACCACTTTATAAATTTTGGACATTTTGTTACCCCCAGAGGAACCTTGCATTCTGTAGCAGTCACCTCTTATTTCTTCCCAAAGTGTCCCCCCTGGACCCTCGGTAACTGCTAATCTACCTTATGTGATCATTTAATATAAATGGGCTCATAAGCTATCTAGTCTTTTGTGTCTAGCTTCCTAAATATGGTTTCTTGTATGGAATGAGAAGTTCTCATCTTGAGAACTTAGTGCAATGAAAGGAAGTGGTTGAGGGGCTGCAGATGTAACTCCAGTAGAGTGCTTGCATAGCATATTCATCTGAAGTACCACAGAAAAAAAGAAAGGAAGTGGTTGGAAAATCCATAGATTTTAGGAGGGAAGACCAGATACCTGATAGGTGTCTCAGTTGATCTTGAATAGTTTTTCCTCATAGTTAAACATCCTACTGCTTAGAACATTCTGTCTAGTCTCTCCAATGGATATTAAAAATCTACTCCTGCCTACCCAGGAAAGATAATCAAGCTAAAAACTGTGGCAAATTGAGATGGTAAGTTTCAGGTGTGACCCACTTTTGCCAGTGACTTTTGTACCTCAAACTGAGTAACATCCCAAATTTTTGAAATTTACTCCAGTGAATTTCTGCTGTCTTCTTGAAGTATGGTACTATAGGACTAAATAAGATTTGGGTGCATTATAACAGTGCTAAATGTATTAAGTACAGAATTGTATTTACTGTGCGATAGTCCATTACTGCCTAGGGTAGTTCAAAAACATAGTGATGAGAGCAAGTTAAGCCTGCATTGGACATGATTTGTGTGACATTGAAAAGTAGGAGGTGTGTACTGTGAAAATTCTTCAGAATGCAGGGACACATTCACTTCTTAATAACCAGGGAACTAGCCAAATACTGTGGACTAATGGCTCAGCTGCAGAAAATGCAAATTGTGAATCATTTCTAATAATTATTTCCTAAGCACTTGCTGCTTACTTTTGAGTGACATGATAGCACCTTCCAGGTTGTATGTGGCCTGTTTCCACAATGTATTGAGTACTGTTGTTTGTTTTAAGCATTGATGCTTGTAACACCAGGTTAAACACATTTTTGGATATGTTTCCTCTCATTAAATGACCGTGCCCCGTCCAATAAAGAAATGATTGTCTCACCCTGGTTTTGGTAGTGGATTCTTGTTTGTTCATTTTTGAGTTTTAATCTCATTTCTTCAGTGTTTCTGTCCTCAGGAAAAAAGGGCTAATTTTATGATTTTGTATGTTTTTCTAATGTGATGGCTGTTTTTATAAATTAAATGGTTACTTTAATTATATATTACTTTTTTGAGGTACTGTCTCATTTATTTAGCTCGTGTCAGCCTCAAGGTCCTTTTGTAGCTAAGGCTGGACTTGATTCCTCCTTGTCCTGCTTTCACCTCCGGGGAACTGGGATTACAGGAGTGTGCCATCATACAGGGCTCTGTGTATAACGTTCGTGTAATTTTATAGTTTCTGTATACAATGTATAATGTCAAAAATAATCAAATGGCCTTCTGAATATAAGAATTGTCCTTGAGCAGCAATATGTAATCATTGCATCACAAATACACGGTATACCCCAAACTGTCATTGCAAAATGTCACTTTATTTTACACTTACAAGAAACCATGATTGGACATTACGGAGCCCATCAAAAGTGTGATGAAAAGCTAAGGGTAAGTCCCCACGTGTAAAATTTGCCTCTCACCTACAGCATTTAGGAAACACTACTAGTATAAAAATCTGTGTAGGAATATTTCAAAATAACCTGCTAATAAGTTAGTGTTTATGGGTTTTGTTTGTTTGATTCTTTGTTTTTCTGAGATAGGGTCTCACCAGCCCTAGCTAGACTAGAACTTGCTATATAGACCACGCTAGCACAAAAATACACCTGCCTCTGCCTCTCGCATGCTGGTATTAAAGGCACGCACCCCCACACCTGACCTTAAAGTCTATTACCAAAAAAATGGAAAGGGAAAGATCACATATGCAGATAGGGAAAAAAGACCAAGTAATGCAGAAAGTTATAAAATTAAAAACTCTTGTTCCCATCCCAATCCCTCTAATATGTACGTCTCCAGAGGTACCTGCTTCAAGTGTTTTGTATATTATGGGAAAAAATGCAACCTAAGATATACCTCATTCTTTTACATTAAAGGAGTCACTATATGAATATCTCTGTTTTTACTGAGTGTTTTATAAGATCTCAGGAACATCTTACTATTTTTTAATTATACATTTAATAAGCATATAATTAAAAGAAGCATTTCATGACAACAGCATTGACATATTCAATAACAATTTCCAAAGCTAAGATGCATCTGTTTCGAGATTGGCTGTAAATTTTTAGGTTTACAGTTGAATTAATACAGTTATACAATATTGTACTCAGTATAAACCCTTTAAGACATAAAATTAAATGAGGTTTTTATCTTTAAAAAAGATCTCCATTTCATTATATAAACACACAAGTTTCACAGAAAGACTCATTGTTTTTGCTACTAACACTGAGATGTTGGTGCATGCATCTCTAATCTGTATGCATCTGATTATTACTAGTCATAAT